TTGGCAATCTGTCGATAGTCTTCTCGATTTTCTCTCCCCACGTCAATGGCCTTCTCACAAAGCTCCCGGCATTTATTATAGTCACCCTTTTCAAAGTATACCGCTGCCAGGCAGGAAGATTAAAAAGTTAGTGCTCACTTTGTACCTCAGCAATGCCTAACAACACTATCACACCTGGTTTTGGAGACTCACCTGCTTGATTGGTAATGTACGTCATGTTGGTGGGGTCCAGTTCCTTGGCTCTGTCATAATGCTTTAGGGCTATGTCAAAATCTTTCTTCTTGTAGGCATCATTCCCCAGCTCTTTCTCTTTTAGTGCCTAGACGAGATTTGAAAGAAGCAAGTACTGAGCAAATCTAACCCAAATAGCAAAGAAAGCAAGAGTTTATGATTTGTCACAGGTAGGTGAAAATGTAACATGCACCGAGAAACAAGTTCTTCACTCCAAGGACCTCTGAGATCTACTGGTATACTCTCAAACTTCCTTTTTATCTATCACCTTTACTCTTCCTATTAGGAAAAGTTAGAATGCTTCTGTAAAGAAGAAATCTCCTTCAATTTTAACTCTAGGCAACTGGTGAGGACAGGGCAATTTTGAGCCAAGTTTTACAGAGAAGTGGCAAAAACTCAGTTTCTGTCAGGTGGCTGTTTTGGAGTCTTGTAGTTTGGAGGCCAGCAGAGGAGGCGGTGAGAGATAGAAGAAAGGGCAGAGAGGCAGCACGAGTCTTCAGCACAGCTCACTACCGCCTACACTGAGGGCCCTTTTCCAGCTGAGACACCCTGAACAACCAACACTCACCCATTTAAAGGTACTAAATTTGGCAACAATCTGCTGTTCCCATTTATAAGAGAAATGAAATCATTTAGGCACATGCCTCCTGCTTTGAAGACAGGGTTGCTAAGTGGACAACTTTCAGCCGCATGCCACATCCAGTCAGGAGGCAGAACAGAATCCAAAGGATCTGCCCCTCTGGATCACAGCAGGGACACACATCACTCACAACTTACTATTTTGCCCTGCCCAGCTCATGCTGACATCTCTGCAGCAGCTGTGGTGACTATGAAGGGGCTACTAAGATGTTTTAAAATATTGTGACTAAGAAACAGTGTTTTCTTTTTTTAATTTCCCAACATTTTTTATAGAACTTTATTTTTTTTGAAATGCAGTCTTGCTATGTTGCCTAGGTAGCATTCACACTGCTGGACTCAAGTAAACCTTAGCACACACTAAGCATTCAAAAATAACCATCGCTATCAGAGGTCTACACGTTTCCACTCAACATGCATGTTCTACTTTACCTAGCTGTTTATAAATAGAACAGGAAAAAGAAAAACATTACCTGCTTCTTATTCTCTGGAAGATCCTCTTCCATGGGCTCTGGCTTGGTCTCCTTTTTGGGAGGAGGAGGAGGAGGAGGAGGAGGAGGAGGAGGAGTTGCAGCCTCTTCCTCTTCATCCATGCTACCCAGATCAACCCCAAGCAGGACACTGAGTGTTGTCATAATCCGAGGGTCTTGTAGTTTCCTAGTTTTCATTTTTTAAAAAGAGAAAATTACTCCTTGTCACAGCTGATCCTAAGCCCCCACTTACTGTTACCAGTGTAGCCTTACCTGTCGATGGCTACATGGCACAATATTCAAGGTTACACCTGCAGAACACTCAACCCTTCCAAAGGCTACATGAAGCCTCAGAGCCCAGAAGTGCTACCCGAGGCGAACAGATATGCAGAATAATGAGTCACTGGGCCGGGGAGATGGCTCAGTAGGATAAGCGCTTGACTGGCAAACGCAAGGATCTGAGTTCAATTCCCAGATCCGCAAAAAAAAAAAAAAAGAATAATGAGTCATCACAGGTATACCTGATTGACCTCAAGGGTGAAAGGGCTCAATGACAACCCCCAAGAAAAGTTTTTCATGCATCGGTAACTTTAAACCAAAAAAATTCC